TTTATTTAAAAAAAAAAAAAAAAAAAAAAAAAAAAAAAAAAAAAAGAAAGAAATCTTCACTGGAGCAGAAACCCAGAAGCTGGAGGGCTGAGCTGCACTTGGTGGGACAGTGTTCACAGGGACTGAGGCAGCGCGGCGGAGCCTGGGACACCTGGAAGTCTCACAGCAGAGCCCACCCGTGGCTGGTCCTTCCTGTGGAGCCTGGTGGGAGCCAGGCCGGCTGGGAGGAGGAGGAGGAGGAGGAGGAGCTGCTCCACGCGGTCTGAAGGCCTCTGGAAACAGGATCTGACTTCACGGCATCAGCTGCTTTCGGTGCCCACACCACAAACCTTGGGAGATCAAGGACTCCTGGGAGGCACCAGGGGGAAAAGGGGCGTCAGAGCCTCCTTGGGGCAGCTCCTGACCAGCACCCTGGGTCGGTTTTGTATTTTAAACAAGTTTTTAATTTAAGTGTTTTTCGGAATTGGATCATATCACTTCTTTTTAGTCCTGCAGTCTAGTCATGACTCTCTTCTTTTTTTTTAATAAATAGGCTTTTTTTTTTTGGTCAGTGTTCCAGAGAAGTGAGAGGGGCAGGAGGGGGGAGCAGCAGCTGCACCCACTGGACAAGCTGCTCCCCCTGCAGCCTCCTCCTCCTCCTCCTCCTCCCCAGTCCCCCCTTGCCAGGACCAGGAGGACTCGGAATGTTCAAAGCTTTTCAGGGAGGTTTTTGGAAATTGCTCTTTTTTTGGAGGGAGGGTTGGTGATTTTTTTTTTCCCTGGGCTTTTAAACTCAGCCCTTTCATCCCTTCCCCACCCCCAGGGACTCGCAGCTGAGGGGGGATCTTTGCCAGGGGCACCTTTTTTTACAAGTATTTCTTAAGGAAACGGACCAAACGGCTCCGCCCCCCCCAGCCCTGCAGCCCCCTCCCCTTTTTAACAGCCCTTTTGATATCCCCTCTGCTCCCCCTGCCTCAAAACCAAGCTCCTGGCCTCGCTGGGACAGACTTGTGGCTCCACTGAAGATCTGGGGCGTTTGGAGTCTTGATTTTAAAGAAAATACTCAGCTGGAACTGGGGGGGTTGTTGTGCTGCCCTTTCCCCCCTGGATCCTCAGACGTTGGACTGATCTTTATTTTCACTAAAGGCTTTTTTTTAAAGAGATGAAGTGACTCTTCCCCGAGCTCCCATTGGGTTAGAATCCTCCCTTTTTTATATATATATATATATGTATATTAAAAAAAAACCAAAAGAAAAGGCTTTTTGGTTTTGTTGGTTTTTGTTGGTTGTTTTTTTAAAGAAAAGATTTAAATCTTCTCTCTGATTCCTTGGGAAGGGGGAGCAGGAGGAGCCCGGATCCCGGGGCTGTCGCTGCTCACAGACTCGTTGGGTTCTCAAGGGCTCTCAAACCTTTGGACACGGATTTATTGTCACGCCCAGACCCAGCAGGGGTTGGGGGGACCCCCCTGCACCCCGAGCCCCCCAGCAGCTGCAGTAACTGTCTATATTAGACACTCATTTCTTACCTTCCCTCCTCACCCACAGTTGTTGCTTTGTTTGGTTTTATTTTTACCAGGAGGGAAGAAAACCCAAATCTCTTTTATTCTTACCCCCAACCCCCCCCCGTCATGATTTAATATTTATGGAATTGTATTTAAGTGTTTGTTTTGTTTTCCTGTTCCTGGGGGTGGTTCCTCAGCCGGTCTCGGGTCGGGGGCTGGGGGCTGTTTTTGTGTCTCCTCAGCTCTCTGGTGGGTTTTCACAACTGCTGCTCTCTGTGCGTGGCTGGAGGGTCGTGGTGACACCTTTACAACCACCCTGGAGCAGGAGGGGACAGTGTCCTGCTCACCTGTGACCTCTGGGACGGAGCACGGAGGGACCCTCCCCAATGGGACCCCTTGGCAGGGACAAACCTGTCCCCAACCAGCAGCTGTGACCCCCTGGATGGAAGCCCAGGTGCTGGGACAGAGCGTGGAGGGACCTTTCCTGCCTTGGTGTTGTCACTGTCACCGCTGGGACCCCCCGGAGGGGCAGAGCTCCTGTCCCTGGGGAGCTGGGACGGAGCCTGGATGGACCTTCCCTGTCCCCCCGGGACCCCCCGGGGACAGAACTGTCCCGTCCCC